TATTTCATTTTCATATGCAATGCGTTAGCAATTATGCAAGCAATGCAATTAGCAACAGCAATTCAAACCCTGCATTTAATGCTTTCATTTAATGATTCTTAAAATACATTTTCTTAAGTTGAAACATAAACTTTTTTTACCGCAGTTAATCAGTAATCTATTAATACGACATTATCAAGAACTTATTGTGTATAACATTTGATATAATTAGACTATTGTAAAGTAGAAAGTAATACTTTCTGAAGCTTTATTATCCATTCGCTTCTAGTGAGAAATTTATTATTTCAATTTTTCTTTAAATAATAAAATAAAAAAATTAAATATGTTGAATTAAATATATTTTCTGTGACAGGCAAATAGTAAGTGCACCCTCAGCAGCCAGGTCGAGGGTTACATAGTCAATCTATTCCAAATGTAAAACCTCTGAATTGATACATAGAAGTAAATCAAAGGTATCTAGGTTAATATCTGTCTTTTCAGGGCACTAGACCATATGACGTCATGCAGTTAGACTCGACCTAACCTATAGTATCTCCTGCAATGCGTGTCTACCGGCTTTCGAAGAAAGGACACCAGAACACCTGTTGTGTCTATGTCCAGAATTTGTCAGAACTAGGCTTAAGTTTTTGGGGTGCCCTTCTTCAACACACTCAGCAATAACTCCAGCATTAGCATTAACCAGACTCTCGCCATCATAAATGCTGCTCACTAAGTCTAATTTGACCTACTCATTATTACGATGATATGTGGATTTAAAATGGCTTTCTTAGCTAATTGAAGAGGATTCGTTCCTCCCTCCACTTCAACTAACTAATTAACTAACTAAATGCCTGGTCCACGGTTATCATTAGTAAATTTCACTTTTTTTGCCAGAAAAAATATATGAATATTTTAACCGGAAACAATAAGCAATAAAGATTGCTTAACATTAACAGTCAATAAACCGATTCATACAGATATTAAATATAGAAGTTCAAGTTGGGTTGATCATACAGTATGAAAATAATATAATAACAATATATGCAACATATATTAAAGCTTGCATTTATTGTCTGTTAAAGGATAATTTGATCCAATTGGATAAAATCAGAATTTGATAAATGCACAATACAAATGTCTATGGGTGTAATCCTTGTATTATCCTTTTAAATTTCTTTTCTCATTTTCAATTGAAATGCCAAATATCTTGTAAACGAGTTTAACTTTCCAAAAGGATAAGAAAAAATTTAAATACTTATATAATAATGCCATTTATTCGTATTCAAAATAAAGCCATTGAATGTCCTTGCTGTTTGCCAAAATATTTTAGAATTTCAATTTTACTTAGTTTTTATAGTTAGAAATTGTATTTTTTCCTTATAAATTTTTTTTCAATGTGCGATAAAATTGACAATTTTATGACAAATATTTTTTATAGTCGTGGTTGCAAAAAAATATAAATTTCGATGTAGGCAATGAAATTTATATCCTCTAAATATTTACTACATGTTTTTGGGTGGAAAATGAAATATTTGACATACACTCGAATGTTATGCCGCATATGAGATTTATTCCCATAAATTCACTAAATTGAATGCAGCTTCTGAAGTATCAACGTTTTATATTACATTTTTAAATTATTAATATTGTATTGAATTTATGTGATATAGTTATCTATCTTGGTGCCACGGTGAGTATCTCGTAGAACTACGGCATGCAATATTTAGGTAGAAGGATTCGTCTGCAAACACGTATTAAAACAGCTTTTAAAAATACTCAGTTGTTGTATGTAAATGAATATGTAAATGAATTAAGTATCAACCACACCTTAGATTTCCAATAATGCCTACTTCAAATCTACATGAAGACTTAGCGCCAACTGGTATCGTGGGAGACCAAAAGATCTATGTCTGGTTTATTATTATATTATTATTAAAATTATTGATGTGACATCTGCCAACAGCGGGTACTGCGAACAGAAGAGTTGTATTGTACCAATATCACTCTATTGATCACACAAAGCTTTTTAAAGCTTTGTAAACTTTAGTCCAGAACTAAAGAGAAGAGCTCTTAATCTATTCTAGTCACAGAGATTCCATATGAAACAAGTTTCTCCTGTGCCTTATTAAAGCTGGATACTCACAAAGAATGTGCATAGTAGTTCCCTCAACTTCGAGGCATAATCTACATTCCGAATGTAGAATGTGACTTATTAAACCTATAGAATTCTAATAATTAGTTTTATTGAAGAGGTATTTTGAATAGTAATGCATTACAACAACAACATTTTTATTATTTATTAATTAATTGAATTTTTTATATCATAAATAAATAATTAGAGAATTTTCGAATAGCAAAGAAAGAAAGAAAGGACAAATACAAAAATTTTATTTTTAATTTTATTGAAATTTGACTGTCCATACAACGCTGTTTCGAGTACTGCCAAGTACTCTTCATCAGTGGTCTTAGGAAATAATCGAATTTTATTTAATTAGTTTATAGTAAGTATATAATTTGTTTGGACTAATAAAAAAATTAATAAAAATTTTGTTAAGGTTGATTTTTTTTGTCGACTGTGACGCGTCTTATGATGAAAAGAAATTAGAAGAATTTGAACAGTAATGAAGAAGCAACAACAAAAATTTGATTAATTTATTGATATTATGCTAATCATACAACGGTGTTTCGAGTATTGCCGAGTACTCAGCATCAGTGATTTTAGGAAATATTCGAATTTTTTATTTAATTACTTTATATTTGTAGTATAATTTATAGTATATGTAATTCACTACAGTTCGAAATATCTCTTTACTAAAACAATAGTTTTTATTAAGAAACATGGTTTTTTCCTTTTTCTTCTAGTTTTTTTTCCATTGCATTATGACTTCAATTTTTCAGATTAAGTGGAGCTACAAAACACTTTTAATCTAAATAATTATTGCTCCATCACTGCGAAGTATAAAAAAATTTAGTTCTAACATTATTTCAGAGCTCTTAAAGTGAAAAATTATTAATGCTAATGCTAACGTAGTATTTCCTACTGTCAAATATATACACTACTATATACTAATACTATAATATACTAATACTATAATACTGTACATTCCTAATACTACCTCTGATAATTGTTAATGGTCGGTTAGGAAATTCTATAATTTTGGAATTATATTTATCAGTTTAACTTGGTAGTTATAACTTATTTTTAAGAAAATGTCATTATGAAATTGACCTGTAGGGAGACAATTTATTTCGTCAATAAAATGTTTTCAAAAAAAGTTGAATATATTTTTGTTGCTTGAAGGCGTGACAGACGTGCGAACAAATTGTCATTGGCTAATTTGGAACAATACAAAGTTTGCATAAGGAGTTATTAAAAAAAGATTGAAGCATTTTTTTTAACAAAACAGTAGAATTCAAGATTGAATAAAAAAAAAACCAAATGAAACCATTGATTTTATATTCTACCTTTTATTTAGTTAGAGCTTTTCAATTTATTTGTAAACGAAATTCTATTTTGACATTTGATGAGGGAATGCTTCACTTTGCATGTAAATTAAAATTTAAATTCTAATAAAAATTCATTTTATCCACATCCAAAAATGTGATCAAATTTTCCATATTACAGACGTATTCTTATGCACTGTATCTTCTGTGACTTTAGTGTTGTTAATTGGCTGATAAAAAATATAATGATTTTGTTATACAGTAAAAACTCTCCTAAGCGGACATTTACCGTCTGCTAACTTTTGTTGGTTTTAAAAGGGTATCCGATTAAAAAGGATGAAGGTATTTTAAATAATAATAAAAAAATTTCGATTCAATTGTTCGCTGAAGAGGAGTGTTCATTCAGTAAGGGATTTCCGTTAAGAAAACCCTTGCTATAGTATATTATTTGATGGGTTTTTTTCTATATCATATTTCTCAACTGTACAACGACGAATCAATGATAATTTTTTTTATTTTCAACTTGGTCTTTCATTTATTCAACGATGAAAAATTGTTGTGTTAAAATTAGCGAAGAAGGTATTTTCATCTCATCGATAATTGAAGCTAAACATCTTCAGCAGTACTTGTAATACTCACTGCGG